TGTGTTCCCAGTGATCAGCCGAATCGAATGAAATGCGATATGATGCAATTTGGTTACCTTGAACTTAATTTATTAATTTAAGTTTACTTAAAATTTAAGAAAAACTTAAAGTACACTTAAGCAGGCTAAAAAGTATATCATTCGACGCGCCTTGACGTGCTGAGTTCACTGGTGCTTTTCTTTTTGCGCTATCTTAATTAGATCGAAAGTTATAAGCGAAAAACTTTTGACCTGTTTTTAGCGAAAGTTTTACATTTATACCCCCCCAAAACCCCCCTAAATATTGACCTAGAGCAACCAAATTTGCAAAGGGGCGAGAACTCTCCAGGGGGCCCACCTACCTACCAAATTTGGTGTTTCTAGGTGCCATAGGAGCCAATCACGAGGGGGGGTCGCATCGACCCCCCCCCCTCCCTGCCAGGCCGTGTTATGAAAAATGCCCTGCCAGGGCGAGGGTTAATATAAGGTGCTATAATTAATTACGATATTTTACAACGGATGCTTAAACCAAGCATCCATTTATCGTAGCATGCTTATATCAAGCATGTGATGCTATATTTTAGCATCTGCTTTACAAAATGCTGCTTATTTTAAGCATCATAAATTCTTAGCATCTGAATAGCACCCTAGTAGCACCGGTTTAGCGCAAAGGGAGCTAAACCTTTTTACAGTGCAGTTGACGAGCACTTTCATATCAACTATACTTAAAAGGACTATCCCACCTTTAACATGGGGTTTGAGTTGAGATAGCCAAGTTTGCGGCGAGGTTCAGAAATCACTATCTATCTAGGTTGCAACCCCCGCGGCCTCTTGGTGTTGAAGAAATTCGCTCCCTTCATTTGAAAATGGGCCTTGTACAAGGCCCTATCTTCAACATGGAGCGACCGTTAGTGTGACGTCACCTCGTTTAGTCATTCTGATTTAAATGGGTTTGTTCGTTGAAAAAGCGCTTAAAACTTGGTCTGAACTTTGTTGTGGTGCCTACAGAGTAAAAAGAATCAGCTTTATGACAGTTATGTGGCCTGGGGAAGGAGGTAATTTTGGGCTGTGACGTCACATATTTGAAAGTTTGTGTTTGGAATATGGGAAGCCTAAGATGTTTAATGAAAAACAAATGCCAGAACCGTGTTCCTAGTCATCCAATCTATAAAGTCGGGCACAATTTAACTGGTTTTAACAACATTTTAGAAGGTGGGATAGTCCCTTTAAGGCAGGGGTCGGCAAATGGTGGGGCATGCCCCCTTTGGGGGTAATGGCGCCCTTCGGCGGGGGGTAATGAGGGCCTCTGAGAAAGCCTCATCTTTTTTAGAATTAATGGCTCCCTTGATGGGACAAACATCGCAACTGTTGTGCCCCAGGATTCAAAGATTAGTCGAGGTCAAACGCACAAAGCATGAACTGATTAGCTGGCGCATGCCAATTTTCATGTAGCTGCTCACCATTCCGTACAGTCGTGGAAAGTAACTGTCATGTACTAGCCGGCGCTCGTCTATTGGCGTTTTCACAGTCACTAACGCAAGGGAGAGGAGTCGTCCATTGCACCCTGACCTGAGCATCTCGGTCTCTGAGCTGGAGCTTTGCAGAAAAATTGAGCGTGTTGCCCGTGAAGATAAGCAGCCGCTGCTACCCAATTTAAAGGTCGTTGGTCATTGGGTGACCTTCCATAGGTCAATAACAAGTGCCGAGTTAATCGGGTCCTGCTGTAACTTCTTGAAGTGAGATTTGTGGCCTGCCATGATCTCAAGAAAGATCCACAAATCAACGGTTATTCGGGTTAAGGTCATGCCATTTTCAGGACAGATAAAAATGATCGGCTCGATGGTACAGTTTTTTTCGATCCGACCCTTTTAACGTGATCTATTCTCGAAAAATACCCGCTACCCCTATACGTATGGGGATTAACCCGCGCCCCGCTGGGGCTCCTGGATTTCCACGCCCTGCTGGAGATGGAGGTTGAACACCCCCTATTAACTTGGCTCCTGGGTCACTAGCGAAACGCCGTAGTCGGCGATCGAAAGAGCGTAAGAAATGATGAAGAAAAAACTATGGTCACCTTTTAGGTCAAATCAAAGGTCAGGTCACCAGAGGTCATCGAACGTAAAATTTCGCCAATTTCCAGGTCAACCTTTGACAATTTTCGACAAACTGGCCTATAGCTAAGGAAAGGATAGAGCTACAGCGCTGCGGAAAAACGCATTCGATAGCTCTCTTAACGTTTTTTCTGATGCCTGCCCTCAGATTCAACCGAAGATAGTTTAGCCTGCAGGAGACAAAAACTGCCAAATTGTACGACTACGTTGCTTGCTGATAGTTTTTCTTAACCCGCGCCGTGCTGGGGGGGCGTTTTTACGCCCCCCCCTCAGGTTTTTCGCGAATATCTCAAAAACGGCGGCGCGCAGCGCCGCCGTTTTTGGTACACGTGTTCCTACATCATTTCCGCACATGTTGTGAAAATTTCAGACCTAGGCCGTTCAAGGTCAGGTCACCAGGTCACGTCAAGTGACCTTACCTCAGAAAAAGTTCAAAGGCTCGCTATAGCTACACCGACTGAACGATCACTTTGAAACTTTCAGCGATTGATATGAGTAACAGTATGTATAAAATGTATATCTCGGATTTTTGATATCTATGACCTAAGGTCAGGTCAATTTTGCGACCTCTCCATTATAAGTCAATGGGAGAAAATTGAAATGCACCTCTTTTGGACGAATATCGTTCAAAACGCTCTCAAACATCGGTTCATAGGTAAACATGACACACTGAATAGGAAAAATGCACCTGTGACCCCTCTGTGTGCCCCTGAGGTCATCTCAGGTCATGAACGGTCGCCAGCAGTTTTTTGGCTATAACTTTTGATAGAGACGTGCTAGAGCGGTGAAAACACGTCAGATGTGTTCAGCTCGACGATACGGATCGACTGATATGCAACATGACCCTTTTCGGTCAGGTCATGACCTTGACCTGAGGTCAAATTTTCAAAATGACCTTTCAAGGTCAACAAATAGTTCATTCGACGCGTCTCGACGAGAGGAACACGATGCTGGCAAAAGTAATGTCATGGCGCTTATGAGTCAAAAGTTATTGACGAAAAAACGTTTTTCGTAAAAACGGCTATTTTTGGAGTTTTTGCCCTCTGGAGGCTAAACCGTTGACCTGAGGTCAAATCTGAGAACATTACTCAGAAAGGTCTGTAAAAGGGCTATCGAATGCGCTTTTCCGCGGCGCTGTAGCTCTATCGGTTCCCGAGATAGCCGTTGGCAGTTTCCAAAATGTTGAAATAGTCAACATTTTACCTTTGGTGACCTCTGGTGACCTGACCTTTGACCTGACCCAAAAATGACCGAAGTGTTTTCGTCCTTATTTTTGACACTCTTTCGATTGCCGCTTACCGCGTGTCGCTACGTGGCCCAGGAGCCGAGTTAGACGGGGGGGCGTGAAAACGCCCCCCCCCCCAGCACTCGGCGGAAAGTTCAGGCCACCAGCACGGCGCGGGTTAAATAACTTTTCACTCAAAACTTGCAAGAGCTCACTTTTATCAGCATCGTGATCCTCCCGTCGAGAAGCATCGAAGGTTTTGTTACCTAACCTAACCTAACCTAACCTAACCTAACCTAACCTAACCTAACCTAACCTAACCTAACCTAACCTAACCTAACCTTTTGTTGCACATCAGTCGATCCGTATCGTCGAGCTGAACACATCTAAGGCATTTTCATCGCTCTGGGATGCCTTTATCAAAAGTTATTAGCGAATAGCTGTTAGATACCATTCAATATTCATGACCTGAAATCAGGGCTGCGGAGTCGGAGTCGGAGTCGGAGTCGGTCGGAGTCGACAGTTATGACCGGAGTCGGACTCGGAGTCGGAGTCGATTTTAGAAACCCGAGCCGGAGTCGGAGTCGGAGTCACCGAAAATCTGTCGACTCCGCAGCCCTGCTAGGTCTGCGGAGTCGAAGTCGGGAGTTGGAGTCGGTCGGAGTCGACAATTCTGCCCGGAGTCGGACTCGGAGTCGGAGCTGGTTTTTGAAAGCCGAAGTCGGAGTCGGAGTCGGAGTCGCCGAAAATCCATCGACTCCGCAGCCCTGCCTGAAATGACCTCAGGGACATACAGTGGGGTTACGGGTGCAATTTTCCGGTTCAGCGGTCATGTTTACTTGTAAATAAGAGTGTCACAGTGTTTTCTGATTAAAAAAAAGAGTGTCACAGTGTTAGGAATGACACTGGTCCAAAAGAGGCGCCTTTCAATTTTCTACCATTGACTTTACGCCCCCCATTGATAATGGGAGAGGGCGTGAAATTGACCTGAACTTTGGTCACCGACATCAAATCTCCGAGATACAAATTTTGTACATGTTGTTGCCTTTATCAATTCCTGAAAGTTTGAAAGAGATCTGTCACTCAATGCAGCTAAAGCAGGCGGTGCAGTCTTTACTGAGGTGAGGTCACTTGACGTGATCTGGTGACCTGACCTTGAGTGACTCTGGTCTGAAATATTCACAACATGTGCAGAAACGATGTATGATAAAATGTTCCAAAATGGTGGCGCTCCGTGCCAACGTTTTTGAGATATTTGCGAGAAACCACAGGGGAGGGGGCCTGCGGTTTCTCGCAGATATGGTACCCAGAGTCACGGAAAAGTATGGAATTTCAGTAACCTTGGTTGTATCACCAATGGGGTGTGGTAGGTGGGGGTAATGGCCCTGCCTGGCGCCAAAAAAGGGGGCACGACCCCGGAGGACCTGCCGACCACTGCTTTAAGGTAACTGAAGTTAGCCACGTCAATATGTCAAGTGCACAGCTTCGTGCGCCACAATTTTCGTTCGACGATAGTTCTATATAGGCTGTATCTTGGGGTTGGCAGTGGCAGAACCACTTGACGGCCTGTTTTAGGTCTTGAAACTGGAAGCACATAATAAATGCCTTCTGCTGGTGGCCAAACGACCCCAAAAACATTGTTCCCTGTGAAGGTAGTATCTCATGGGATTGAAAATTTGCCGATGTAAAGACACACGTGTATTGATGCATATGGGCCGATTCCAACATCACCAATCCATACATCACTACAAACAATATACATTGTAAATATACAACACAATATAGATGATACAATACATTCGTAATTGAACCGATATGACACCTGACTTTGCCTAAAATCAGCACCTAGGCTGTATGGAAGCACACAGAACAACACTGACAGCGATGGCAGTTGAGCGTAAAGATCACGAGTTTTCACTTCAAGAATGCGTATTTTTTTATAAACAATGGCTATGAAGGCACTATAGCATCATGTCAAGCAGAAAAATACAGCTAAAGCATGAACCATGTCCAGTATTCACATACAAATAGACGGGGTTGACCGTATGATGTCCAGAATCCTACATGATATTGGATGATACCTAATTACCAGTTCTTTGCCGATGCGGTTATAACATGACATAGTTAGCCGTGACGAATCTAACAGTATAGGCTACCTACCTACTTGGCTGTCTTCTCAACACTTTTGTATCTGCGTGCTCTTAAAACCAAGCACGGCATCTAGTGATAACTTATAAGTTATAAATACATGCATTATGAATCGATAACTGGGTAAACATTGATTTCTTCACTATTCATTATTTCCTAACTTTTTTCTTATTAAAGTTAACGATGAAAATAGTTGATGACCGTAGAATGTTTCAGTTTTCAAATACCAAATCGTAAGCATTTATGGACCCTGTAAAAACGAAGAAAGTTGGACACAATATGGTCCAATTTTCGTCATTTAGCGCAAACTACATGACAATACTTAACATTTTGCTAAATGTCTTCTAACGGTGCTAATAATAGCAATGCTAATGGACACGCCCAATCAGTGCTCACATTTGCCAGTAAAAATACATGGATACACATTACGCAATATGCTTCAGTAACACCTCGCCATTAGGCATTATTTCAACAACCTTGCAATCGGCTAAATATTCCTTTCAAACCATTGTAGCATGCAGATGCGTCATTAGACATAACACATATCAATCAAAGGTGCGAATGTGATCGTATTTTGATGTCGTTCACGGAACGTTAGAATTGGAACGTCGCTTCTCCCATCAATCTATGTGACTCCTGTTAATCACTATCACTGATATCTGCCCTCTCCGTATTTAAATTGACGCATCACTATACCTGCGATTCCTCCCATCACTATATGCGAGTCCGCCCATCATTATTTGCAGTCTTTCCATCACTATCCGCAGTCCTCCCACCACTATATGCATGACGTCATACTTTGACCTCGACCATTGTTGTCCGTGTTCGCGGCAACTGAACAGCTAGCTGTCTGACTACGCTGGAGAACACAGGTGCACTCATATTCCGGCTCAACGTGCGCAGCAAATACCTGAAAAAAAAAATGAACCAAAAAGTCAGGCTCACAATCAGACGCTCGCTGAAATAAAGAAAGGAATCGTGTATTTTCGTCAATAGATGTGATTGGTAGCATATTGCTGTGAAATTTAGAACATTAGCATTAAATACAGCAACGGCACATTTGCACATCCAGAAGCACGAAGCACTCGTGCATAAATGTTCGTTATGTTGCGCATGCTCATATTATTGTTCACCGCAAAAATTAAAGGAAACAGTTCACTTTCCTGAAATTAGTATTTTGCTATGGATTTATGATTTGTTATGCTCAAAATGATCAGAAAATAAAATAAAACCTTTTTGTAAAAACAAATATTTTTTATATTTTGATATAGGACGAACTATATTCTATGTAAAATAATGTTTGACGCGGAAGCTTATTACGCGTTGACCAATCATATTGCGTAGTTCAAACCTACGCATGCTGCATTGGCTGTAAGCAGCATGCTGATTGGCTGACGATGACGTGGCTGCATTCCTGTGCAAGGCACACATTCCTCTGCAAGGCACTCTTTTCGGAACGAGAAATGGAATATCTTCGTCTAGGGTGATCGTTGAGCCGTAAAAGCTCCTGATTTGTGCTAGTCTCAGCTCAAGCTACGAAACTGCTATTCCAGTTCAAAACCCCATGTGAAAAGTGAACTATTTCCTTTAAGAGACTATTTAGCGTTTCAGTGGAGGGACTAATTAATCGTTAGATTTATAAATTACAGTAATGTTTGTCCTATCTTTCTAGGTGACTGGCCAACTTCAGGCTCTGACATCACTTATCTTTTAAGCAATGCCGGCTTAAAAAAAAAAAACGTTCTCACCAGTCGCCGTAGCCGCACTTTCTTGTGACGTCATCAATGGCCGGGTCGGCACCGTACCGGCTCCCTCTAGCCAGCAGCAGACGGCGACGCAGCTTTGGCGAGAATACGGTGGCCAGCCGGTACACGAACAGCAAACTGCTGACGGAAAAACGAGTTAGGTGCTGAGGTGAGGTAGACAGAACAGCTGTTGGTCGCTTTGACGACAGACGGCTGAAGAAAAACGACGGTAGGTACTAGGTAGTAGGTACCCTGACGACGGTAGACTAAGAACTGTCAAGGATATGCAGATGTTATATTCATTAGTTAGATTGCCTGATGTGGTAAGAGACCAGCTTTTCGCATGGCGGAGTAATCAGCAAACACAAGGTGTCATGCCTATATGATTATGACATAATGAAGGCCTTTCAGTTATACGAAAAATAGGTATATGCCAAATGTTAGCTGTTACGTGTCACTGACATGGCATGTCATGTTCCTGTAGCGTTCTTTATTCCGAACTTTTTTCTTGTCTCTTTGGGGCTGTCCTTTTTCTTTTTCTTTTGCTTTACCCGGCATGTTATATTCTCCCGTCATCTTATTTCTCTCTTTTTATCTACAGTCATTATGTGTGTCTTTTTGCCGGTCATGGTTCGTCAATGGCTTTATCCTTCAGCTGTAGTCTGCGGGCTGCGGCGTACCTCTTCCCGCCCATACCTCTTTCATTCCCCTCCCCCTCCCACCCCCCCCCCCCCGGCACCTGCACTCTATCCAGGAACAGCTGTCTCTCCCGACAACAGGCCAAAAGAAAGGTGAAGGGTCAATAGCACGGTCAAAGTGCAAATTGAGAGGCTGTTGAGATAAAAATCTCAGCAATAGACATGACAATGAAACGTGCTCAGATACCTTTTCCGATTGTACAGGTTCAGTTCATTTCAGGTTGTGCTACTACACATACATCAGTATATCAGTATCAGCAGGTCAGTACATCGGCACAGAATGACAACCGAGCTTATCACTCATCCATCCCATTGCAATTCTCCAGCCGAATAGTCCGTTATGTAAGTTCAAATAAGATCTCTTGCACAATTTTCATTGCACACCAATGTCGCCTCACCTGCCCAGTGCAATGAGAACGATGTACCAGAACCAGACGGTCAGGTAGATCTTGTCGTTGACCACGTTGATGCTGAGGACGCAGAGAGCGTCGAATCTCTCCAAACTTCCTCCAGCTCCAAAACGGTAGAAAGTGCACTTTGTTAGCCGCGGAAAAACCTGCGGTAGAAGCGCAGGGTAAATACAAGCACCCAGTTTCAATCGAGTTTTCTTCATATAACGTTTATCTATAGCACATATCATTTTATGTCTAAATACAGGCAATACAAGTGAAACTCTCAGCAGAAGCAAAGAAGATCGAAACATGACGTTGGCAGCTTTGGTTGGTCGCATATTTCATCAGTGTTGCTGTGTCGACAATTAATGGTCGTATTAATGGTCGTAATTCCCTAGCTTATACAGCAAACTGAGATAATTGCATTAGCAGACCTGAAGGACATTACCAAGGCAATATTTGAAGTGAACGCAATGTCTGTCGTTAACTGCACAATCTGCAAATAAAACCTAGCCATTGGACACCACGGTTGTAATGCCAATGCCAGGCATGATACCGGTGACTGACGCGCCGTTCACCAAGTTTTGATGTTGTGATCCTTTCGTGTTCTGGTTTTGGCATCGCATTTCTCAGTCTCTCGAAAGCTTTCGGCCTTAGCTGGGCCTCGTTACGAGTGCTTTGGCCTGGCATTCGGTTGGACTGAGAACAAACACCATTCCATTCACTGGTTGTCATGGTTACCTGATTCATCGGGTCGTCATCCTCCTCGGCGCCGTGCCGCAGGTACTGAACAACCCGAGGTCCGTAGCCGAGGAACTGTCCTCCGAGGAACGAGTCGGTCACCACCAGCTGAAGCACCGTGTTTAGCAGGTTCAGAGTCTCGCACAACACGTACTTGAAGGCCCAGGCTGTGTGGGAGCCCCAGTGGAAGACCAGGTAGTTGACCATGAGGGCCTCCTTCATGCGGCGTTGTTCGTCGTCAACTACCACGTAGTTGAGACCCTGTGCAAGACAATGTGACGTTGCAGTGGGTGAAAGAGACAGAGACTACGGTGGTGCGCGTTTCGTTGTTGTTTATTCATTGATACCTATCAAAAGAATTACTCGATATAAAGTCACGATAAACGGCGCATGGAATATTTGAAGTAATTTTTAGGTATTGAAATTGTCAGTTTAAATACAGTGCGGAACTACTTGTTCACACACAAATTCATTGCGATAAGCTTTCTCGATATTCATTATTCTCTACATAATTCTAGTTATTTTGACAAATTTTCAACAACTGATTCTCCAAAATCCTCAATAAAGTGATGAGGCATTGGACACATTACACAGGAGAGGAGCCATATATCACATTTCTCACAATTTACTATTTCTCACCTGCAGTATTCCGCGCACTTTGTCCGTTTGCGCCACCTTCCAGATCCAGTGCGGCAGGTAGAAGGAGACTGACTGCAGGAACAGCATGTAGGGCACCCACATGTAGTAATTGTGGTAGCGCCGCTCCTCGGGTCCGCTTCCCGGAACCACACGGCGACGCTGCGCGGCCTTCCAGCCGTGCTAGAATGGGGAAAACAAAATGGCGTCAGAGAAACAAGATGGCGGTGGAAGGAAAAATAGCGGGTGTGAATAGATGACGGCGAAGAAATGACTATGAGGCAACGCGGAGAAGTAAGATTGCGCTTGTAGTGGAAAAAGTAGCTAAAATGAAAAACAGCAAAATCGAAGGAGATGCCTATTAAAAAGTTGACCATGTGGAAAGCTGATTAGGGCATCGAAAGTAGAAGCACAGGAACGATGCCAAAAGAAAAACTTTAAGGAGGAAAAGATAGCAGCACGAACAAGTTGCATCCTATCCTGCGATACTGAAAAAGTATGTAAATAGACAATTTGACATCGTGATAACGAGGATGCTAATTCGGGGTGCGGTTGTCAAATGGTGACTCAAAATGGTGACGAGTCAATACAAATGCAGCTGTGGTGACAAACGTATCCTTGGCACATTCATAATGATGATAAAAAGGCCGAATGAAGCACGGTATAGAGTGGTGTTGCATTGTCTACAATCATTTAAGCAGTAACATTTACCCGAGAAAAAAAAATATTTTTCTCAAAACCACAATGCAAGATCAAAACAAAAATAATAATGTCTTTTATGGCATACTAAAATTACATTCTTAAATCCCATCCTTTTACGAAATTAAACCATCAACCTCTCGAAACCATCAACTCCGGAGAGAATACCCGAAAAAACCATGAACACTCAACGAACACCCAAAGAAGACTCCATCATTCCCCAACTTCACCCAAAGAACGAACACCCACCCGCAGCGCGGTGGAAGACGGCAGGGTGAACGTGCTGGCGATGTAGCAGTACGTGTTGATGACGTTCTGCGGCAGAGAGTCGTCACTCAGGCAGGAGATGGGCGCTCCGATATACTGGGTGGCCGTCACCAGCAGGCAGCAGGCCATCAGTAGGGCGAACGTCACTCGGTAGTGTAAGCGGAAGACCAGGCCGTCACCGCAGGGCTTGGCGCGCGCAGAGAAGAGATTGGTGTGGAAGGCAAGAGGAGATAGCAGACCTTGCATCGTGCCTGAGAAGAGAGCGGGGCGTCTGAGGTCAGTCAAGGTCAACGCAGGTCAACTCAGGTCACGCTAGGAGTCAACTGAAGTCAGCCAAGGTCGACGCAGCTCGACACAGGTCAACGCGGGTCAGTTCAGGTCAACTCAGGTCACGCTAGGATAATCTCAGGTCGGGTCAGAGCAAACTGAGGTCAGTTCAGATCGACGCAGGTCAATGCAGATCAGCCCAGGTCTAACCGGAGTCAGCACAGATCAGCTCAGTCGAGATAACTCATTGCCGAATTTGATACGGAGACGTTACATAAAGCCGACGTGCTTTTCGCCACAGGATTATAATGTAAAAGACGTTTATTTATAGATAATACGTTGTTTCATTAGTAAACTGAGAAGCACATATGTAATCGTGCAAATATCTTCACAATTACTAACGCCTGATGCTCGTAAAGTCAACATGAACACAGTCACACAACACATGGACAAACATCACACTGAACAGCGAATGCCATCACTAACAACGAACCGGTCGGTTTTCTTTTCATCTACCAATCCATCGTTCACAGGATAACGATTCGTGGAGGCAGTATTGGCTGATTTTGGAGATCAGCCAGCGGCGGTGCGTTTGACGGGGCTCACCTTCACTGAGTTCGGAGAAGCTGCCAACTGTGAGTCAGAAGAACGTGTTGCGCACGTGGCCGGCTGAAACCGCTTATCTTTGTATAAAACACGTGCGTCGTAATATGCTGCAATAGGTCCTGGAGGCTGCAGTCTTTGTTGCTCTTGATGGTGAGCACGATCCGACGCTGCGCTGCGCAAGCTAAATAAAAGTACCTATACGGATACGCCACGGGAATTTGAAAGTTAGGAGTTTTATTCAAAGCTTTCCGTAGGCTTCTTCCGTAAACGTTTCCCGACAATAATACCTCACCTAATGCCATAAATTCATATCTCGTTGGGTATATTTTAATCACGCCGGTCTTATTTCTTATCTTATTTCATTGTAACTTCTTACTTGTCACTGAATCATTCGTCACATCAGGTTTTTCCCATCACTGTATTTCGTAGTTTATTACTTCTTGATTCTTGACGAGCTTCTTGCTTCCTTTTTCCACTCTTTTTTTCACAATTCAGTTCCTTTTCACACTTGAAGTCCTTCTTTACACTTAGTTCACACTAACGTAGGCTGGCCCGTATCTTCCAGTGCATCGGTTGCCCTCATGAGCCTCCGTTCTATCGCTGACTTTCTTTGGACCTATACCTACAGCCTCGCGCTATCTGTTCCTCACCTCACACACTTCACTGCTGCGGCTCGTGCGGCGGGGTGCGGCCGGCCGCGGGCTTTGTCGTACCACCTGTGGTAGCCCAGGTGGATGGGACAAACCCTACCCATCTCGCCCCCCCCCCCCCCTCAGCCTCCGCCCCCACAGGTGCCGACACGTGGTCGTTGTGGGAGAGGGAGGGAGGGGGTCGACTGCGACTAATGGTCGAAATGGCGGCTCACATTGGGAATTTAGAAAATATTTGTCAAAATATGTATGCTGTTTTATGGAGCTGATGATTGCAAGACAATGGGCAATAAAAGTGAAACTAAGCAAACAAAGAAAATCCAACAAATGCATGGACACAAAATAAAAGCACTGGCTTCATTTTCAAAGTGGCTGTTGGATCAGTGGACTGACGTTTTGTTGATGGTTTGATCTTATCCTCAACGGGAGTTTTGTCTAGTTTCACTGTATCTGGCAAGTAGCCCGAGAGCTCTCAGCCCCCTGCGCTAACAATGACACTAGAAAACGAAACTAGAACATTTTGCCAACTCCTCCTACACAATGACATCTGAAGAGCGTGGTTGTTCAGTCGAGGAAAATGTTTGGGGTTTTTGTAGATAGCATGGATAAACTTTTTAAGTCGTTTAACCCTCACTGGACTAATGGGTATTCTTGTGTTGAGGGACAACTCGTTCACCGTAACGTCACTATTTACGGTAAAGCTTGTGAATAACGAACATAATGGACCCTTACAAAACACAGTGAGTTACCCCCGAATATCAGATTTTAGGTTGAATAACGACCTTCGAGGTCAGGTCAACCACTAGCACGTTTCAAACAGGTTTCCAATACTTGACTTTCGGAAGGAATTTGGTTACCGCTCAACAGACTTGTGACAGCCACTACGCATAAGTTTTTTGTTAGACAGGACAATTAGTGTTGACTTCAGGTAAGTGTCATGTCAAAACGCTGGTCAGTTCGGGTAGTTTGCCAAAGGATGATTCATGCCATTTCAGTTGACAGATTATTCTGAGTTCATTGGCGCTTTACCCGACACGGTAACTGAAATTGGTCGATAATTTGTAACAAAAACCGGAATCAATACACATCACCTAATCCGTGGCAGTCAAACTCTGTAGCTTCCTCTCCACCACACAGATCCTGCATGTCTGCCACACTGTTTCTTATCACAAAGGGTCTGTTCCAGTCGCACTTCCTAACACCTCCAAACTCCTCCAAGATTGCTTCCCTGTTCCAGTGGCAGCTCTAGCCCCTACAAAGCCAAGGAGGGCCCTGCTCCAACCTCCTCTTCCTTGCACTGGGAGGAGCTTAGAGGTGTTAGGAAGTGCGACTGGAACAGACCCATATATGGCAATGACAGTTGACCTCTGACAGAACACAGCTCACAGCTCCCTCCCCACACTACCTCCCCCGGCCCCGAAATGGACTCACCCGGTCGATGCGCTGCGCCCGGTCGCTGCGCGCTGACCTGCGCGGCCGCAGGGCTCGCAAGCCCGAACGGCAGAAGCGGCGGCTCCGGTCGCGGCGGTGAGACTCTTCTCTCTCGAACGGGTCGGCCAGGAAAGTATCCCAGACACCCCCAGAGCAACACGCGCTTGAGACGACGAGCGCGATCTTCCATACGCGTCTGCAGCGACCGCCGGCTGTGGGCGATCTGACCGGGCGGCGCACCGACTCTTCTGAGGTCACGGGGTCATCGTCAGCCCACTGAGAGTTGGCGCCGCTCACAGACGATAACAGAGGTGAGTCGACGGGGCTCGAAAAACATCCACCCGTTTGCCCAACTGACGTCAGGCTCTAGCCGGATTATACTGGTTTTTACCGGTTCAGGAACTGACATTTAGAAATGGACTACGCCGGACGCCGACCCCCTCTCAACCGGCTAGCGTTCGGAGTCTTTCTGGCGCTGATCGTGCAGTCCCACCCCCTGGAGCCCTCCCCTGTAACTTCGCACGCGAGCTGGCCGATCGCCAGCCGCCCAGCACTCCCTCGTCTGCCCCGGCCACGTCTGGTTCCCAGGTGTACGCTTTCTCGGCGCCTTGTTCGGTTCCCTGGCTGTAGGCCAGTCCATGAGGGCCCATTCCAGGGAGCTGTCGTTACATCACAGCTGGGGTGCACACGTGGGGCGATCGCTGATCACTACGCAACAGACGACGGGACACAGGGAACGATGTTATGCGATTTTTGATCGGTAAAATGTGCACCTTTAGCCATTTTGTATGTATTACTCATAATTATATAACGAATTTACTTGTAATGTTTATGCGTAAATGGATGGGTTGAGAATGTCAGAGCGCACGCAGCGCGTGTTGCGCAGGCCCCAGCTCCTTCCCTTTTATCGAGCAATTCCGGGCAGTCGGGAGAATCTGAATTCCAAAGTTCATCGCACCCTTCAAAGTGGACACTGCCAGAAATAAATGCTCAAAGTAAAACAAGAGCTCAAATTCGTCAAACCATAAACCTCTGTTTAACAGAGGTATAGACTCAAACGTTACAAAACAAAAACGTTTCTACATGACAATGTGTCTCGGGCTTGACGGTTTACGGCCGCTGGAGGTTGAACTGTTGATATTAGATCAAACAAAATTGAATGTCAGCGAAAGAGCTTTTTCAACAAAAAGTGAAGTCCGAATTTGCGAGAACATGCAATGACAATAGAGCATGTTGTGCCTAATGCACTGCTGGGTCTCTCAGCTAAATCATCGATTCGTAATCTATCTGCCAAAAGTAAGGGGCCACAATAAAACAGGATGTGTCATTGTGAACGACTGTATACAACAGGATATCGATTTTAAAGATCAAAGACGAAAATATTTATGGAAAAAATTATCATATTTTAGCAGACACACTTACCCAACACCATAAGAGAAGGACTAGCCTGAAAGACAGACAGACAGACAGACAGACAGACAGACAAACAGACAGACAGACAGACAGACAGACAGACAGACATGGGCGTAGGAGCCTCACAAAAAGTGTGTTTGGGGGGGGGGGGCAGCAAAACTTCAATGTTACTTTGTGGGAGCCCCAATACCTAGATACACCTTATGAAGAAATTCTTTGCCAGTTTTGTGCTCATCTCACCCCGCTGAACCGTTTCCTGCTCTTAGTTTTGTATTTAAATCAAAAATAAAAATTTTCTTTAAAAATGTCTGAAAAGTGGGGGCCATGGCCCCCGGCCCCCTCACTCTGTTCCTACGCCTATGCAAACAGACAGACGGACACGGATGGCACTGAGAGCGACCACTGCGTCACCTATAAACCAATCGATACGGCAGACTAGCGACACCTACACCGGCACAAAGCTCACGAGCACTGGGGACATTGAGCTTTTACAATTTCTGCCTGGCAGTGAATGTAATGTATGTAATTGGCTACTTGTACTTGCTCCGGTGCATGTTTTTCACACAAACTTGAAAACGCAATGTCATAGTGTGTGGGGATTCAGAAAGAAGTTTTGGTTTGCTTCTTCCATAATCACATACAAGATGGACACCGAATGACAGGTATAGGCGATATATGAAACGAAGGTGTCATGTGTTTTCAATTCTCCGTCACTATAGGTACATAGTCTTTTTCACGACGGAACATTGCACCACTGCTTGCTGAAATTTCCAAGCAAAGAAGCAAGCAATAGACATTTCATTCGAAAGGTAAACACCGTACTAGTAAACAATAACTATAATTCCTCAGATACCAAACCGATCAAACGGATCAAATAAGGTGTTAAAAGTTCCGTCGTAAAGGGGGCTTATGGAGCACTACGAATGATTGGACCCCCAGCCCCATCCCACATGTGAAGAACCGATGACCGCAACTTAATAGCATTCAGTAGGAAAAGTGTTTGTTTTGTTGCTTAAAAACATATCGGCTCTCGACTCCCGTCACCTGGGCGTCACTTCGACACTTTGACACCTAAAACACCAGCAAAACGACTGACATTTGGCCAATTTTACACTTATGGCGTATTACCTTGTCAGCCTTAGGCCTGAATAGGTCTTGCAGAAATCATATAAAACCGGCTCGTTGGGCGCTGTCCGCAGGCAACCTATTTACGAGTGTGTAACTTCGAACAGTTATCATGAAGAGAACACAACTTGCTTTGTGTCTTACCGCCGTAATAGTGGCTGTTTTCGTTGCGGCTGATGCACGGGGACAAAGTAAGTAGCCATTACTTGCAAATTCATGGTGTTTTGCTTGTTTTGAGGACCTCATACCTATGATAAGACGGGGCTTAACCAGAGATACGTCTTTGACTTTATTAAAACACATTGAGTGATAAGTGTACACCTTACACCAGAACGTTGAAAACATCACCAGATCTTAGCTTGGCCCGATCAAAATCTCATTTTTTGTTACATAAAGAAAGAAATTACAAAATAAATGCCAAATATCATTCTATTCTAGGTCGAAAAACTAGCCTATTGCTATTTGTTGTTTCAAAGTAGGAGCTAATCCTCGGGTATCCCTTGCTTCAGAGCAGAGCTGTAGCCCGGGCTTCCTGCTTTGACCACCATTGTTCATTTTATATTCCAGAACGGAACTGCAACCCAGGCAATCCCTGCTTCCGCTGTCGCGACACCTGTGACTGCAGCAGCGAGGGCCTCTTCTGCACCCCTGCCCACCGTTGCTTCCACATCCACGTGAGCAACATGAGCACCACCCGCGAGGTCGAGTGCAACTGCAACCACCTGACTCCGTGCGACTCGAGTCACCCGTGCTGGCACCCGACTGTAGTCAACGAGACTCTGACTACGTACGACTGCGACTGCGACTCGATTGAATGCAGCATCAGACACCCGTGCTGGCACCGCGAGTGTGGGTGCAACTGCGCCCATACGGCCTGAGAATAGCGACTGGAAGCGGAAGATACCCTGCTGACATCGCGAGTATGACTGAAGCTGGATCTACACAGGCTGGGAATAGCGACTGAACGAGCGCTTCAAAGTTCATAAATTATCTGTGCTTGCAAAGGTGCTTGCAGCTGCACCTACACTGGCTGAGAGGATCGAATGAAAGCGCTCGCAATTTGCTATCAATGAATCGGTGTTAGGCGATTATTTGCGCGTGATGTGAACATCCACATTGCCCAGCCTTTTATTTAGCAACCGAGAAAACACGTCTTTATCGAAACATATAAGAGTTACGAGTTTACATATTCCTATTATAAAAATGTATGTTTCAACATTTGATTTTCGTTCCATGTCCACAACAATTTGGTCCCATATTTCTGTGAATGTTGAATACATCTTGCATGCCAATTTCATTTGAACTGAGGTGGAAGATATAATTAATCGTTTGAGTTTAAACTAAATGATAGGAAAACTGCAAGGCTAGAAGCAATGCCTCGAAATATCTACTACTAATATGCATGCACAACTAGTGGCTGCATCACAAAGTCATAAGGAATTCAGCGACGTAATCAGGCTTCATAGCGACGTATTTGTGATAAGGGTTTTTGGCCAAAACATTCAGAGATATTCGACCGGCTAAGGTCATTCTGGGTCCGGGTCACAGGGTGTGCTCATGTATATACTTAGGAAGTGTCAATGGTGTGAATAAATCAAGTAGACTTTTACCGGGGAAATAGGAACATTTTAAGCAATATAAATGTTAACTACGATCTCAGTAATCGGTATATACCTTTCACAAAATGTTTGGTCGCCATGTGTACCTTGTGCACAAGAGCAAGACCTCCTGTGAAGGTACTGCAACCAAAGTTTGGTGATTGCTACCAGATACTCCAATTATGTCGCATACAAGGGCGGCAGCCCAGGCCTGTATAGTGTATATCAAAGCATTTCTGAATTGTTGGCGTCGCCTAGGGATAGGTATGTCATACCGTGCTCTAGCAGTGCTGTTACCGTGGCATGAATTACGCTGATGCTATTTGCCGTCAAAGGTTCTGTTCTCCCCCAGGCGAGCAAAGCCCGGCGGCAGGAGACTAAAGTTGCATTGATTATGCAGAGTTCTGGGAATATAACAGCGTATGAGACTCAGACTTCGTCCGACAGGAAATTACTGTCAAATCCAGTCGCATATTAGTGTTTTATTATTTGACTTGCGTTATGTGTTGTATAGCATGAGCTAGACAGATTTTTGGAAATGAGTAATTGGCAATGAAGTTATGCTGATAACGTCATTCTTCGGTAGCTTTAAATAGCATTTACCTCACACTTCTTGGCGGGAAGCTGAGCAGGAAAGTTATTGGTGTCCTCGTTCAGGCTTTTACACAAATTTCGGTGAATCTTTTTCCTCACGTATGGTGTAAATTTTAGCCTCAGATCAGCTCCGATCAGGTAAGCAGGTCATTTCTAATGAGCCATCTCAAGAAAACGCAAATACTCGCTGTGGACACACCAGTTCAATTACTTCCGACGATAGATTAATGGCAGGATACGTGACAATGACGTTTTTTTAGCCGATGATGCAATTTGCAGCTCTTTCCGTCCATACATAAATTGGCCAGCCGAGGGCTGAAGGAGCATATAACCAAAGTAAAAGCACCTGCGTAATATTAACAGAGACAAGGTGTATTTACTATCACATGAGCTTAAACCACCAGGTCGACTAGAATTCACCACAAATCATCCCCTGTCATTACACATTCTTTTCAAAATAGAGTTATCTGACCAAGGAATAGATACAATAGGGGTGAGCAGTCAACGACACTGTCCAATTTCTGGGTCCACTGCTCGCACGAAGGACCGTTCTAATATCAGTCCATACATCAACGCCACAGCTGCTGCACTCGGGGCTTTAGAGTAGAGAAACCCAAATATATCCCGCGCTGAGGTAGGTAGACGGAAGTACGAAAACGTGATACAAATTTTAATGGAATAATATTGATAAATTTATCATTCCTATTCAATCAAAACATGAACATTGGTTATCATGGAAAAACATTGAACCCATTTCAAAATGCTGTAAAATTATATACATGCTTATCTCTGAAACAACGTATTCAACGCTCTAAAAGGCAAGCACGAAACGATGAGGTACTCAGCTCAGCTGGGTTGAAATGGAAAATGTCATTCGCTCACGAAATAGCAACCTGAAATGAGTGAAATTTCTCTAGAAGATGTCTGTACCCAATATGGGTAAGTGTTAGCTCAGTCCTACATCGCATGACACGTTGCTTGCTAATTATTTTGTTTGTGTTTATTGCTCAGTGCAAGCAGCAGGTCAATGCCAAGTTACAGATGCAGTCAACTATGTACAACGCTGATACTGGTGACATTAATCTGCTGTTGAAACCCCCTGTCACATCATAACATGTCACCCACCAACTGCAGACCAGATTGGCACGGGTCTACATGTCTCTCACGTCCGAGACCCAACTTTTCAACTTCCCATTTTACCGTCTAAGTTACATGCCACCACCCGTGTGCCAATGTTGGACACCCACGCTCGAATGGTGCTGCTACACCACACCCACACCCTTATCTATCATTCCGGAAGCATTTCAGACCCCATGAGACCCTGTTTTTCGGCGATAATTTATTTAATATTTATCCAATTGGCTTCAAATTTTCACACAGCACATTTCAGCTCAAGCGCCAATTTTCGCTAATATGGTCTCTTAACAAAATATCAATTGTTAGGGTAATTGTCGTTGCCTCGTAATGTTAAAATCAGCTCCGTAAATCCGTCAGTGGAGTAGAGGCTATCCGTACGTAGGCGTGACGTCACAGGCACGTGACCATTAAGCTCCGCCCTCCCGGCGGACGTAGCGGTGACCTTGGCCCGTCAGTCGGATGCGTGGAGCCGACGGGGCAGCAGCCGCCGCACCCAAGGCCGTTTGCCGGACCGGGGCGGCTCGCATTGGACGTGGCTGCCTTGCGGTTGCCGTTGCAGTAATAACGATACAGCAGAAACTAGCGCTCGTTATTAGCGCACTAGCCTTCGGTGTTGCATTTATCGCAAATTAACCAGCACCTTGTCAATCTATAAGTTCAGGGCTAGTGACTGTATTTTTGCTTGATTGAACGTCATTAAAAAGGCCGTTGATGTCAACTGACTGTGAACTGATGCAAGACGTCGCCCATTTTATAATTGGCTAGATTGAGGTCTCCGGACTGACTTGACCCCAGGCTTTCGTGTTGAACTGCAAATAATTAAGATACCTGTAAGCAAGTACCCTACTGCCTCACTATTGGAGAGCTTGAAATGTTACTTTAGTTTCACAAAAAGATGCGATTTCTTTACTAGCCTATGCGCTTGTTTCCCTTATTCTGATGTCACATTTCTACCATGCGTAATAAATCGCACGACGCACATCACATTTCTGCTCTCTTCTCAACGCTTCCCGAATAACGAACACAGGTCGTGGAGCGATGTCTGAGGCAATCGGAAGTGCTCGCGACTAGTAATCCTACTCTGTTTTTTTCTGCATAGTTAGGTATAACAGCGTCTTCAGAAACAGCAATTGACGCAGCCAACCATATCGATATTTTCGAGTAGTGCAGAGTCTTCGCATGATGTCATAGGTGACAGAATAGTGGCACGACCTGACCATGAGGTAGGCGCCAGAATGTGCATTCATTCAGATATTCAGATAGTGCATGACTCAGCTCTCTATTTAATGTTGGTTCTGGGGAGGTTAATACTTAATATCCTCATTTTGATTATTCTTCATATTCTGAGCTGGATCGGTGTTGATATACCAAAAAGAGGGAAGCGGTTAGGTACCAACTCCCCCAAATGAAGAGCAAGCTTTCGCTCAGGCACTTCCTGTCGATTCCATGTATGTTTCCAGTGCACGGCCCCCGTGCGACCTCTCCGCGGTGCTGCCGCCGACTGAGCCTGCATAGACCCAGCGCGGTCACGGCCAGTGGGCGGAGCTTAGTTGGGCCCGGCGCAACGTGATTGGCCAGCGCTCCCATCCAATCCGCTGCGGTAGCGAACGAGCCTCTATCCGGGTGCAAAATTTAATTAGCATTACGAGCCAATGACAAGTGCTCTAAATATTGACATTTTGTTAAGAGAACATATTGATGAAAATCGGCGCTTGAGCTGAAATGTCTAATGTCAAAATTTCAAGCCAATTAGACAAAAACTGAAGAAATTATCGCCGAAAAACAGGGTCTCACGGGGTCTGAAATACATAGTAGCTACTTCTGAGCCCGGCGCCCAAGGCGAAAGGTGCCGTCTGCCACGCACGCGTCTTTCGGCATGCAAGGACACACACTGTTGTCTATTATGGGTCACGCACATACGACTAGAGAAGGGAAGGCAAACCGTCAGTCTCGCTGAGTTCACCTGTCTACCCATCCACAGGCCCACATTAGTCCATAGTCTACACGTCTTGGCGCATCCAAAGCTGCTAGTCTGCCAAGCAGCCATTCATAGTCCACATTTTATGGTTAAAATATTGTAGAAGTCAGACAACAATAGTCTGTTTGAGCTCCTTGTCCACATAATCAACTTTCGATCTTCATCCACCGTCCCAGTTGATTGCCAACCTTTCCACAACGTAGTCTACCATTCCGAGGACCATTCCACCATTTCACAAATCACAGACAAGTCCCATCGATTCCCCCACAAAGCCTGCAGCCATTACCTCCCTAGGAGTCAATGAATAGTGCATGGTGTTGTGTCTAGTATACCAGGATCGAACAGTCTGTTGAAATTCACGGGCGAATGCTTCCCTAAACAATGACATTGAGTGACCCTGTAAGCACTTTACGAAATTGGCGCGGCCCACTTAGGACGTTGTGCCCTCTGAGGGAAACAAATGAACTGAAAAGACTGGCGTCGAATCCCCGTAAGTCACCGAGTGCGGTGCAAGCATTTGCACTTGCAAATAAGAACTTAGGCGGCTTCGGGCTACTATATAACACTAATATAACTAACACAATATAACACTAATATAACACTAGCACTTCAGAATACTAACACTCGATCACCCCGGCCCTAGGCATTATACTTCGAACGCAAAATATCTTACCTTTTATCGACGGGTACAGGTATGATGTAAAATGCGAAAAAGACCAAAACGATATCGCAATATCTGACCGTGTGTGCCCAAAAATAGGCGGCGGAACGGGGGGCACCGGGGCACCGTGCCCCCCCTTGATTTTGCCATTTTAACATTAGCCCTATGGGCCTTGCATGGAAAGAATGGGACCAAAAGTCAGCAGTCCACACCCCCCCCCCCCGTCTTAATTGAAGGTGCCCCGCCGTTAGTGTGCCCAAATGATGATTTCTGCTATCCCATTATCTTTGTCACATCAAAATAACGAGGGATTCACAAAAAT